TAACCTTTGGAAAAAAAAAAAAGCTTCTCAGGGACAAAATACAGGATAGACACCACAATATGATAGGAGGAAAAGGGAAAAAAAATGCACTGAATGCTTCTGGAATGGAAAGCATTTAAAATTGAGATTTTCCTCAATTACCATTTTAGATAAAGTATCCAATAGATTAAAATAATTTTAAAGGTTTATTTCCCCCCGTTAAATAAGAATTTGCTTTCTATTTTACATACAAGTATTTCTTGTTTGCTAACATATAAAGCCAGGATTGTACAACAGGTACCCCTTCCCAATCTACCAACGCCATCCCATTAAACCTGGATTAAACTACCAGAAAAGATGGTCTTTGTTGTCAGAAGAAAAATGTATCAAGCATAGTTACTCTGACAGCAAAAACATAAATGTAACCAAATAAACTCTCAACTACAACAGAGGCATTGTTCAGGATACATGCTTGAGTCTGGAGGCAGCAACTTGTAGAATCATCTATAATGATCTGTTGGGGGGGATAAGGGGGTGGAAGAGAACAAATAACTAAATAAATGAGATTGACCCATTTTCCTTCAAAATGAAATTTTGTGCCAGCCAGTTAACTTTTCATGCATCACTTCCCCAAAGATTTAAAAACCAAACTTAAAAACAAAATTTCAAAATGTATTTTTACATTATATTTTGAGAGGAGAAAGTATCTGTAAAGTATTACTTGGAGTCCAGGCAACGCCCCCTACTGCTGCAGGTTAAATCCAGCCCACAGGCCAAAGATTGCCAGCCCATACTTTAGAGGTTTGAAAAGCAATGGGTTTTTAGTGATCTCATTTTCAGTCATATGTATAGCTGGAAAAAATATTAAACAAGCTTTCAGACACAAAGTGCCCTTCTCAAGTAAAGAGCCAGAGAACCTGGATAAAAACATAGTAAGAGGTCGTAATAGGGTAAACTTTACCAATGTTCTCAAAGAGAAATTAGGATAATCTATTAGTTACCTAAAATGCTTAAATACTCATGTGAGAAGCAGGAGGAATAAGGAGGAAGAACTGGAAATTCTAGTAATTAGAAAATGATATGAAATTGAAATAATGAAGACTTGAGTACCGTCACGAAGCATGTAACCTATATAAGCAAGACAGGCAGGGGAAAAAAAAGACGTGTTGCCTTATACGAGATGCATGTTTGTTTGGAGCTAAAGTACATAGTAATACATAGCTGAAGTACATAGCAAAAGGCAGGCCTATTGAAAATCTCTGAATCAAGGTCAGTATGGAGAACAGCAAGGGTGATGCCAGGGTGGATGTCTGCTATAATAAAGCAGACAGGAGAGGTGGATGAGGCTTTCCTTAAACAACTAACCAATGTTTCCAAATTACAGGACGTAAGGGTTCTCAAGAGGGTCTTTATCGTGGTCTTTATTGAGGGAAACACAGCAGAGCACCGGCAGTCCAGCAAGTCTTTGAGTGTGTCGGGAATAACTTATTGATAAAAGTCCTAGGGAGCCCAAGTAGGGAAAAAGTTCTTTCAGTTGCTCCTCACAAACTGGAAGGAACTGGTTAACCTATACATTGACTCTAAACAATCTGTATTACTTTCTAAAACAACCTCTGAAACGTCAAAATTTTTCATAGTAACTGGTTACCCATTACTTACACTGACCAGGAATAGAAAGTATTCTTTTCATACTCTCTCTTCTCTTCACACCTGCCTCTCCTTGAAGAGCTTAGGAGCTTCTGCAAGTTTCACAGTTCCCTTTACCTTTCATACTTGATCTCTAGACTTCAGCATGCAACTCTGCAGATTATGAAGTCTCTCCAACACAAGTAGCAGTAAAATAACAGGAAAGTAGGACTGGAAGAGATCTCAAAGTCATCTAGTCCAGCCCCCTGCTTGAGGCAGGATAGCCCCAACTAAACCATCCCAACCAAGAGTCTGTTTAGACTGCTCTTGAAAACTTCCAAGGATGGAGCTTCCACAATTTCTCTAGGTAGCTTGTACCAATGCCTGACCATCCTCAGAGTCAGAAAGTTTTTGCTAATCTCCAATTTAAATCTCCCCTGCTGTAGCCTGAGGCCATTACTCATAGTCCTGTTCCATAGAGCAGGGTTTCTCAACCAGTGGGACACAAAGGTGCTCTAAGTGGGACTCGGGTCGCAGCGGCAAAACCAGAAGTGCCATGGTGGGACTTCTGGTTTCACTTCTGCACGCTTCGATTGGCCACTATGACCAACTTCCTACTTCCTACAAGAGACATTGAAGAGATGGTGGTATTCAGAGCATGGGATATAGAGAGCTGGAGATATACAATCAGGTACATATATAGAGAGGTATATGAAGCTGGAATACTCAAAGCTGGAGGTACTCAGAGCTGCAGGTATTCAGACAGGTAGATACACAGAGATGTAGCTGTATGAATCTGGACATATATGGAGCTGGAGATAGGTACAGATGTAGATATTTGAAGCTGGAGATATACAGAGGTGGAAATATATAGACATGTAGATATATAACGCTGGAGCTATGAGGAGCTGCAGATATTCAGCTGTGTAGATATACACAGATGTAGCTATATAAAGCTGGAGACATTCAGAGCTGCAGATGTTTAGACCTGGAGATGTCTACAAAGGTAGACATATAGAGATGTGTATATGTATGTATATATATATATATGAACCTGGAGATATATAGAGCTGTAGATTTTTATACGTGGAGATATACAGAGAGGAAGATATACAGAGATGCAAATATACAGAGCTGGATATATATCTATACAAGTCTATATATGAAGCTGGAGCTATTCAGAGCTGGATATATTGAGAGCTGGACATATGCAGAGAGGTAGATATATAGAGAGGTAGATTTATAGACAGGTAGATAAATAAAGGTGGAGCTATTCCCAGCTGGAGATATTCAGAGCTGTTAATATTGATAGCTGGAGATATTTAGACCTAGAGATATACAGAGCTGGAAATAGTTAGACCTGGAGATATTCAGAGCTGGAGATATTGGTAGCTGGAGATATTCAGAGCTGGAGATATTCAGAGAGGTAGAGAGAGAGAGAGATTTAGATATATGAACGTGGAGATATGCACAGCTGGAGATATACAGACAGATATATAAACCTGGAGCTATTCAGAGCTGGAGATATTTATAGGTGGAGCTATTCAGACCTGGAAATATTGATAGCTGGAGATATTCAGGCCTGGAAATATTCAGAGAGGTAGATATACAGAGATGGAGATATATGAAGCTGGAGAGATGCAGAGCTGAAGAAATATATAGACAGGCAGATACATAAAGCTGGATCTATTCAGAGAGGTAGATATATAGAGATGTAGATACATGAATCTGGAGATATCTACATCCCGATGTGCGGGCCGCCTCCCGATCCCGTCCACGTCGCCATGTGCGAGCCGGGAGCGATATGCGGACCCGTCTTTGCGCACGCGGGCTGTGGCCAGCAGCCCGGGCACGCGGGGTCAGAAGGGACGGCGGGGCGGTAAGGAACGCAGGGGCTAGAATTAGCCACAGAGGCGTAGTGGCTGATTTAAAGATTGTTTTACTTACGCCGCAGATGGTCGCGGTGCAGGCAGGAAAACTTGCTTGACTTGCGGTTACAGACAGGAAAGAAGAGAGGCGGGCAAGAGTTCTCAACTCGCGCACTCTAGCCCAATCCGGCTGAAGGCTCTAAGCACGCGAGCCCGTCGTCTCAACCGAAGAGAGTACTCGTACAAAAGAGCTCCGAATAAACTCACACGAAGTTTGCTAGGCTCCGTGGAACTTGTGCTCTGAGGTAGTCCGGTCGTCTGAGCAACTATGTCAGTTGTAGTGCGCAGGTTTGTTATTACCCTGAAATAGAATAGTTTTCTGATAAGCATACTGTTAGGTTTACAATAATTTAGATTATTAGGAAGTATTAGCTTTACAGCTGAATACAAGGCATGACCTGTGGCCTAGCAATGCAGCTGACCACAAGGCAGATTGATAGCTAAGCCTTTGCTTGTGTCAAGTAATCATTTTAACTGTATTAAGCATTTTCTGAGTTAAAAGCAGCAAGTATCTCTGTGTCTGTGTGCTGAAAAATCAGCTACAGCAAGAAGTAAGATAAGACAGGGAAACCATTGTTCTGGGTGCACTGGTTGTGTCCTTGAGAAGTATCTACTACTGTGTAAGGTTTTGCTAACATATTATAATGTTACTGTTACTTAACTTTTAGCTTTAAAAAGTGCTAATTCAGCTTAATAGAAATATGCTGTTACAAAGATTTGAAAAGCACCGCCCAAGTATTGCTTTTTTTTGTTAACCATGAAGTCTTGCCTTGTTGTAATAAGTATAAAAGATCACCTCACCCTTAGGGGGGGGCCATTTTGCCTTTTGCTGGCTTTATGGTCTTTGCTCGAGCAAATAAACAGCTGTCTTTCTTTACCCGCGTTGTCTGTCAATCAAATTACAGCTAGACAACGAACCTTAGGGAGGTTTCTCCCACCACATTAGCAAGTAGTAAGAGAAAAAATGAAAAATGAAAAAGCAAGAACAGCCCAAGACCATGGTAGTATTCAACCTGTTGCATTTAATGGTAAAAGTGGGGGAGAGGGGAGAATAAGAGAGAAAGAAAAGAAAGGAGGATCAAGGAAGAAAAAAACCCAAATCACTGTGCGGCAGAGCACAGCTGGGGTGCTTGCCACGTGGCAGGGGCTGCAGCAGACTGGGAGAAAGCCAGCAGAGAAGGCAGCCAAGTGAAGCCCATGAATGTCACTATTAAGGGGGGAAGGTATGTGGTGAAGCACCTTTGGGGGGTGCTCACCACTCAAGGGCTTTTACAGGCTCTGAGGGGAGCCTGCTTTGGCAAAGCAGCAGGGGGTGACCTTCTCTAGGAACTATTCTAAAGTGGGGAAGGTGTGTGGCAGAGCACCTCTGGTTTCTGCCACTTTAAGAGCCTGAAGAGACAACAGGCAGGTGGGGCCCAGTTCTGATGAGTAGCCATTTTAAGACTCAGGCCAGCAGAGCTGGAGGTAGCAGTCTGCTGCTTGGTACCGAGGAAACAATATCTCCTGGTGGAGCTGCTGCTCCAGTAACACTTGGAGGTAAGGGCAAGAGCATATGGGGGTGGTTAGGAGACTCTTGTCCTGAACATGACCTAAAATTGCACCGTGCTAGGGACGGGTGGCCTGGTAGGGCTGTTTGTGGCAGAGCAGTCCCCCAGAAATGTCAGGCCAGTTACCACCCCAGTGGAAAGCAAGTAGGGGCACCTAAACCCCAGCTGCCACCTTTGGGTGGGTCATTTAACACTGAAGGCATTTGGGGGCCAGGCTATGTGGGGTGCAAGACCTCAGAGAGTGAGAATGGTGGGCCAGGTATGCTGGTGAGTGGCACCTGAGCCTGCAGTGTATGTATTTGACCCCAGGACCCAGCATAGCGGGCAGAGTATGTGCCTCAGTGGAGGCAGAGATGTAGAGTGGGGTGCAGTGGGGCACCTAACAGACTGCACCAGAGTGGTAGTTGGCAGGCCTGGAGAGAGGGGCAAGTAGTGAGGCCCTGTGAACAGGGGGCCTGAGGTGAGGGAAGGGTGCGAAGTGGGTCCAAGTGAGCAGGGGGCTTGAGGGTAGGCCCTGCTAACATGAGGGCCATGTTTAGGTACAGGTAAGTTTTGGGGTGCCTGAAGCCAGGGGGCGCGAAGCCCAGGGGTGGGGGGGGGGGGGATTGGGGGGGGCGGCTCACCACCGGTACTCACTGTGGTGAGTCAGGATCCCCTAATCTAGAGCAGCTGGGGAAGTGACCCGGCAAGAGACTAGAGGCAGAGTCACTCCAGTGTTCTGCAAACCGCCCAGCACCTGCTTGGATGAAGGCTGCAGGAGAGGCCCAAGAGGCGACGCACTTGCTGGCTGGGGAGTGCAGGGAAACAAGCCCCAGGACCCTCCAAGTGAGGGCAGGGTGTGGCCCTGGGAAAAGGAGGAGTGGTATGAGAGTGGCTCCACAAAGGGGCAGTATGAGAGACTGTCTGAGATGGTGGAGTGAGAGGCCTCAGTGAGAGGGAGGAGGTATGAGTATGACCCGTAATAGGGCAGAAAGCGAGAGGCCTAACACTGGGATAAGTTGAGCCTGGCCTTAGGCCAGACCTGAACACAGCTGTTAGGAACATCTGTGAGGCTTGGGATGCAGTGTAGGGGTGGTTGGAGCTGCATACATGGGCCCAGAAGAACAGGGTGTATGAAGGGCAGATTCCTGCCTGATTACAAATTTAATTTTTGAAGGACAAGGCATGGCAGATGAGAAAGGCGGGCAGTGTGCCCAAAGGCAGTTGGGAGACTAGTATTGTGGCTGGTCAGGGAGTTCCCACATTGTCAAATGCTGTTATTTTTTTAATTGATTTATATTTCTGGATATTTCAAAGCTTAAAAAA